CAGTTTGATATCCTCTTTCTGCTGAGAAATTTGTTACGGTTATGGACAGTTGGAATTGGTTAAAAGTTTTTAGAGGTTAGTTGTTGTTAATAGTCTGTTAGAAACAGTTAGGATGAGCTGGAATTTAGTTTGCTGCTTGTCGGTTAGAAGTTAGTTAGGGCTAAATGGAAAAGGGTTTTAGTTAGTTTAAATTCCTGTTATGGTTTTCTGTTAAGTAGTTTTGTTTTAACAGTCAGAAGATTGGATGCTGTTAGGAAAAATTGGTTATAGGTTTCGTTAAAGAGCTGTTAGAAGATAGGAAATTGGAGTTAGATTACTCTGTTATTTCTGTTTGTAGGGTTGTTCGTTGGTGAGGTTATGGAGTTGGCAATTAGGGATTATGTTAACTCTGTTAGCTAATTCCTAAAGTTTGTTAGTTGGGAAGGGATTAGAAAAATCAGTTAGGAAGTTAGAAAAATGATAGGTTAACTGGTTAGGAATTTTTCTGTTGTGGAATATTTTGGGAGTTAGTTATGGTTTTGACAGTTAGGAGTTTAGGCAGTTGTTTTGTGAAGGGTCTGTTTCTGGTTTTCTTGTTACAGCTTGGAAGTTTGATTGAAAACTTTTTTGGACTGTTGGGAAATTAGTTTAGAAAACGGTTAGGGGGTTATGAATAGAGTTCTGTTTTAGGTTTTTCTGCTAGCCATGTTGTTTGGAGAAGTTAGGAAGTTGGTTGAATGAAAAAGAGGTTAAGGAATTTCTATTTTGCAGTTTTTGGTTAATTGAAACAGAGGTTAGGGGATGCTTCTTCTGTTGAACGGGGTGGCTGAGATTTAAGTAAGTGATGTGTTTCTTAGTTTTCCAAAATTGAATTGGTCAATTGTAGCTTGATGTTGTCGATATACTATTATGAACTGATGCCTTATTTTTGTGATGGATGCGGGGCTAAAGTTTATGTATACTTGCTTAATTGTTTGTATTGGATTTTTATGGTATTTCCCGTGATCAATATGTAGGGCTTGAAAATATGGTGCAGCTCGGTTCCAACAACAATAGCAATGCGCCTCTTGGAAACGTGGAAGCTTGGAGCAAATATAATTGCAAGCACGAAGACAACTCCCACATGTTCTTTAAACATTACATCACTATTTGTAATAGCCTTTAGAATGTATTTTGGATACATCTTGTAATAGACTTTGGAAATGGTAACTTGTAATAGAAACCTCTTGAATATTTAGTCTTTCTTTTGAATGAAATGAATTATTGATGATGAACTTTTCCTTGAGAGAAATGATGGCCATTGCCTTTGTTACTTGAATCCTACGAAATTAACATCGATATCATTTTCAAATTTAATCATGAATCAGATCCAAACTTATACCCTTGCATAGATTGAGTTCACGGAATCACTCGAATGAATGAATTCCCTTTCATTTATCAACAGACAAATCAATTTTCCTTTACTAATCCCGTTTAACTTGTATTTCCAAGCAACATATAACAACAAAGAGAACAAAATTGTCTTGATCAAAATCAATCCATAACTTCACCTCTTATGTCATGTTTCATTCTTGCAATTCAATCCACAAAATATATTGACTTGACAAAGTCTTTTCAAATGGTTGCCTTAACACACTGCCTTGAAGAAAAATACGTCTTGAAGTATAAGAAATGAAGCCCTTAAGTCCAGTTCTCCAATTGATGAACCAACAAATTTTAGCAACAAACTGAAACCCTAATTTCCTTGCCATGAACGCACACTAATGAGGAGGCGATTTAATATGCTAATGAGAAAAAAAACTTCTTTTCAAAATAACTTTCAATGAAGCCTTGATGAAACCCCAAACACTTGATGCACCTAAGAAATCTGGACGAAGATGCTTCATGAACTTTGTTTCTTTAGCATTAAAAAACCCCCTCAATGAACACAAACCCTAGCTCCACAAATTCTGATTGATGATGAAACCAGTTGATTCAAGATTGAATGAAGACGAGAACCTTAAAGCCATACAATAACCCTAATTCTTCAACATCCTTGATCCCGTGCTAAATTTACTGATCGATGATGCATGATGTGTTAAATGACCTAATGGAGGTTATGTACGAAAGAAAAATGCGAGATACATAAGCCAGATAAGAGTAAAAGGGTAGGACAAATTTGGGGTATTACAGAGGGAGTCTTTGAATATTGTGTCGTTACGGTGTCCTTAGTAATTAACATTTAGTACCTACCGATCTAACAATAGCCTAGTAGAATGTGATTAGGAGTCATGTCGTGCCCTTGTTTCAAACTGCACTTAATCATTTCTTTTACCATATTGGTTGATTTCTTGAGGACAAACAATGGTTAAAGTGTGGGGAAATTTGATAATGCAAAATTATATCGTTTAATCGACTCGACTCGTATGAATTATGTTACTGTTTTTATTTATTTAAATCATTTAATGTTGGTATTGCTATTATGTTTCAGGTATTTTCATCCACTAAGCTTCCATGAGAAAAGATAAGAAACTGGAAAAGAATGGACAAACTAACAGAAACTAGCATAGAAAAGAAAAGAAAATTAGCACACAGAAGGTTGTGGCCCTCGCCACACCTTCTGTGACCCTCACCAGACATTGGAACCTTGTGGCCCTCGCCACACATAGCATGGCCCCCACCACGGCTATGTTTTACTCAGCCACGTATTTTAAGGATTTTCTCGTCCTGTTTTGTGGTTCTTCTCCATGTCAACACTCACGAAACTAAGTCTCCTGAAATTTCTCCACAAGCAACGCCTCTTGATATATTCTCCACGTTACCACTAGTCCCGGATTCTTCTGCATGAAAGTTAACAGAATCTAGCAGAGAGTCTATATAAGCGGTAATTCTTCATAGTTGAGAGGGTCCACCATTTTTCGTTAAAATCAGTGTATTGTTCTTAGTTTTTAGGAAGAGAATTACATGTAAAAGGGATAGCTATTTCTATGTGGAAGAGCTATGACAACTCTAGTTTTAAGAGTTTTGCTATTTTCAATTGTGTACCTGATTTTCAAGCGTGTCGGCATATTATGAAGTTAATTCCATTTTCGTTTAATCCAGTGTCTTTTACAAGTTTCTCTTTATCGCATTTCTTATTTCTATTGTTTTGTTTGTTTAATTTAATTACCATATTGTTTTTAATTACATTTATTATGTTTAATTCGTTTTTAATTAACAATATGTTTAGCTAAACTTTCTTGAGTCTGTTATGTGAGGATCGTCGTCTCCGACGGGACTCGGTAACGAAGTTGACTTAATTAATTAATTTGAAATTTCTATTTTGGCCTTTGTTTTTAAACTTAATTTAAATAGCCTTGTCACGAGAGTGAGAGGTTACTTAACACGATTTTGCCACGAGAGTGAGAAATTAACTAAGGTTCGAGCAGGCACTACGAGAGCGTGGGGGTCGAATCAGATAGTAGAAACTAGGCATTAATTCTAAACACAACTAGAGTGCTTTAGGATTAATTAGAACTTGTTCAGTTTTCAAAACACGTTCCTCGATTATAATGGGCGAGCGAGAGCAAAATTCCATGGTCAAGAAATATGACTTTATTCAAAACCACGAGAGTGTGAGATACTGTCTTTAAATTGATATTTTCTACTAAATACTTTTCTAATGTCAGTGTAAGTCAACGAGTTACAGAGTTCCTGAGGCACGCGAAATCCATATTTCGGCCTCTCTTTCATTTTATATTTCTTTAATATTATTTTAGTCTTTATTTTAGCCTTAGTTTCCCTTTAATCAATCACTCATTACCCTTAGCTTTACAAAGCGACAATAGATTACAGTAGTTTGACATTGGTCTCTGTGGGTTCGACAATTTTTTATATTACTTCGATATTTCTGTGCACTTGCGGATGCATCATTCCTCCCACTTCTCGTTGTCCATGTTGAAAATATTTCCTTTTCAATGTCGTGTGTAATCCTAATTATATCAAAACATCTGACTTGAATTTTCCACAAGTCAACATTGATCTTTCATCAAATTTTTCTAAATAAATCTTCATTGCACTTGAAAAACTTGACATTGTATGCAAAACCTTTCTTGCAGCAAAACAAAATTTTTCTAACCAACACAAAATATAAAATTTCTTTTATGATGTGGAAGACCATAGAAAACTGCAACCACATAGTATCCTAAAAGAAATTATACTCCACTAAATCAAAGCTCTTGATACTACTGTTAGAGAGTTCGTCTTCAACCACCAAAGAGGAAGACGCCGTATCTCAACCCAAAACCTTAAAATATTAGATAAATACACTCTCTCTTATAAATCTAACCTATCATTTATTCATAAGCAATGTAAAACTTTCACAACTCACATTTACATCTAACCATCTTAATTTCTTATTGGTCCCTCTAATACGGACCCATAAAAGTGGTATATTAGTTAGGGGCCGGTTACACCAAATGTTTTAAAAAACAAAAACTGAAAACTTGAGTAAAACGCTACTTACTAGTTTGATAAAAACAAATGTCATCATCAATCAAAGATTCCACCTACTTCTTTGTCATCTTCATACATTTTCACATGACCAAGTCAACACAAATCCCAATTATCAGGATTACGGTTCTCGGTTTTCGGTTTCCCTGACCAAATTTGTCAACAAAACACAGCAAAACAACAAACTAAAAAACAAAACAAAAGTATCAGTTAATTACATTTGCTACCTCACATCACATGGATCAACCACCTAATCTTCCCATTATTATATTGTCATTATATTACGTAAACCCATGTTACCAAATACCAAATCCTTTGTCCATAATAATTATAATAATGCACGATTAATGAAATTCAACACCAAAACCGCTCACACTTTTGACTAACTTAACACGTATAAAATTTTTCAAAACTATTACATCATCACTTTATAGAGTAGTGATACCTCATTAATATTAATAATAACAATAGTTTTGTAAATCATCAATGAAACATGCAACTTTTTCAAACTTTTTCTAATCTAAATTTAGTTACATAACAAAAAAAAAAAATCACTGTCTCTCTAAATCAGGATCATTAATATTATCAACATGAGTACCATAAGAAGGTCGAACTCTTCTCGAAGATCTATCTCTAGTAAGAATCCTCTGAAAAGAACTTAATCGAGAAATATTCTTGGGAGACTCGTTAATAGAATCAGCAGCATCGGAAGTACTTTCCGATGATGGTTTAAACCAAGTGGGACCCTCGCGCGTCTCTGGTTCAAGGCGAGGTTCAACCTTGGTTCGACAAATAGGACAGGTGGAATGTGAAGCTAACCACATATCGATACAACTCACGTGGAAACTATGCTTACAATTAGGAAGCAGCCTCATCATTTCTCCATCTTCTAACAAACTCAAACACACTGCACATTCAACAATGGTATTAGAAACATTGTTGTTTTGTTCTTCATCTAGTTTTTCTTTTTGTTTGAAGAGGAAAGTGGGAAGAGTGGCAATGAGCGCGGGATCTAGTCCGGAGTTTGATGGATCGGCGAATTGAACGTGAGCATGAGCAACGGTGAGGCTGAGTTGATGAATGGCGGCTCTCCGGCGAGCTTGGCGTTTGAGAACATACCTGGCGTAAAGATGAAGAGCCAACACCAAAACCAATACTAGTATTAAAGAACATATTGCGGTTAACAATATTTTTTTGTTGAAGTTGCTTTGACTCGATCCATGATCAAAATTTCCAAATGGATAAAAATTATCATTATCATGGTTACGATCATCATTGAAATTACTCATACCTATAATTTTATGTGCTTGCAATATGATTATAGGATGAAGAAGAATGAAGATGGAGGTTTCGTTTTTCTTATGGGGTTAGGATATATATGAATGCAATGCGTGTTATGTGGAGTGAAGAATAATATGGCAAAGACTTTATAAATAAGGTCCCTTTCGTTAGTAAATTTATTTATTTCCTATGTGATTATAAAAGTCAATGACCTTATTAACTAAAAAGAAACTCCTTTTTTTTTATTCAAGAGTTTTGAATGTTGAATATTTGATGCTTAATGGGAATAGTGGGAATAGGGAGGGTAAAGGAAGACTATTATTTGTTTGATAGGTAGAACTTTTTCTTGGAAAAACAAGTTGTGTTGAATATATTGTATTTAGTTATTGACATTCAGTTACACGCATAAAGACGTGTGAACAAATTGCTTAAAAAAATATGTATGAACAAAACTTGTAGAGCTAGACTATATCTAATTTTTAAATATTTTTTTTTGTTTTGAAATGGGTTGGATACCATTGGCTCATTAGAATTTGAAAAAGTCTCAAGATTAGAATTGGGACAAGTTTCAAGACAAATAGAACGCTCACAAGCATCTTATATCTTATTTTCTTGATTTATAGTACTATTTACTAACATATATGACTTGTGACAAGTATATTTATTTTCAGTATAAAAATATATATTCTCTTCATATTATGATGAATGTCACTTGTGAGTAAATCTCTTTAAGTGAGGTTTGTATGTAAGTGTCTATCAAGTAGAGTATTTCTTGTAATCAATCTTGAGGTTTTTTTAATGATATCATTACCTATTAAAAAAAAAAACTGTTTATATATGTTGAAACTAAAATTAGGTTTTTATTAGATTGAGATTTTAAAAGATTTTTTATGATAAAAACAGTGGTATTCAATTAAGTTTTTATAATATTTAAATAAATTTTATGATATTCTATTAAAATAAATATGACTTTTTGTTTTGTAATGAAATTCGTGGATATGATCAATTGAGATTTTTCATAATTTATGAAGAAAAAAAATATTGTTATTCAAAAGCTATTTATTTTAATAGATTCTTTTATTCAATGAATTTTAAAAGACTTTTTAGTTAAAATTAAACATGCCAACAATTTCATTAAAGTTTTTGAGACTTTTTCAAACTCTTTCAATATTTTTATATCATCATGCTTTATATAATATTTCTTTTATTTGTACTCACTTTTATTTTACAATTATCATACATCATGATCTATTATTTTTTCTTTTCTTTCTATGTTTTTTTATCATCATGTTTGATATTATATTATTATCATTATTTTTATTTTATCATCATATCATATTTATGTATATCGATCAATTATTATTATTTTTCTCCAATACTATTTATACTGATAAAAAAAGTACAGATGTGTATGTTCTCCTTGTTAGGACAGGAAGACTCAGAGGTCTTAATAGGTTTATGATACAATATGGTGGTTAGGGTTTATCTGCGGCGGTGAGAAGCCCTGTACGGTGGTATTTTGAGATAGTTTATGTGTCATGTTCACGTGAGATGAGATTCTCTATTGATGTCTGGTGATGATTGGGAGCAAGCATACGATTATAGTCAGTCGTGTGTTAAGATCTTAATGAGCGTTGTGCTCTTTAGAGTGTAAAGAATGTGTATGGCTTAAGACATGTCCTTCTCCTCTTGAGGGGAGATATATTTATAGAGACCTCTAAGGCTTAGATATTTCTTGAAAAGGGTCACTGCCCACTCAATCAATAGTGGACAGTTGAATCCCGATTTCCAAGGGAGTCTTGGGTCAGTTAATGATCTTGACTTTCTCTCTATTCAAAAAGCGTCTTATCCCACGTTTTCGACGTCAAGGTGGTAGGAAAATCACGGGGATGAAGCAATACCTCCCTTTGGGAGACATTCTATTGTCGCCTCTTCAAGGGTGGTCTGAACGTATCGCCCTAGGCGAGGTCATTTACAAATATAACACTACATAGTCCCTCAAGCACGAGACATTTGGTAGGAGACAAAGTGTTTTATTAAATTATAGCTTACGGGAGTATCCGGGAACCAGTGCTTCCTCCCGTGAGGTCTTAGCTATCTTAGGAAATGTGTGTTCTTTATGCATAGAAATGTGTAATCTGGCTAAAGAGACACTAAGTCCCTCAGGCGAAGGTTTAGTTATCCTATAGAATCTAATACTTTCATGCAGAATTGTATATAGCCCGACTGATGAGACCTTAAATCCCTCTGGTAAGAGTTTATTTAGCTTGGAGAATCTAAGTCGTTCATGCAGAATTGTATATAACCCGGCTGGTGAGACCTTAAGTCCCTCAGACGAGGCATTTTACCTACTTGGACGATACTTCCACTTAACCCTCAAGCAAGACTTGTTATCAAATCTATTAAGTTGGATATATGCCGCGCCTCTTAGGCACTAAAGTTTTTTCTTGTTTGAGAAGATGCTAAGTCCCTCAGACGAGAGTTTAGTTAGCCTAGAGAATCTAAGTCTTTCAAGCATAAATGTATATAATCTGGATGATGAGACCATAAGTCCCTCAGGCGAGGCGTTTTACCTACTTGAGCAAGACTTTTGTTGATCCCTCGAGCAAGACTTGTTATCAAGTCTCTCAAGTTGGATATTTATCTCGCCTCTTAGGCATGATTCTGGAGTCTAGTCCCACCCGAGGAGACACTAAGTCCATGAGGCAAGAATTTAGTTAGCTTAAAAAGTCTAAGTCTTTCAAGTAGAATTGTGTCTAGCTATGTTGATGAGATCGTAAGTGTAACACCCTTCTAAACTCCAAATAATATTCACAATTATTTTAATAAATAAATCAGAGTATATCATCAAGAAGGATGTCACATCTTTGTATAAAACATCATAACAATACATCATGCTCTGTAACACAGTTTTCAAAATATTTGACAAGATACTTAAACATTTAGTTCTTCAAATTATTGTAGTGGAAATCATAGTTCAACTTCTCATAATAACACTTCATAAAAATTTAGGCATACTTCATAACTCATCATCGAAATAAAAATAACTCGAGTACCACGTAGCGTGACTTAACATCTTAAAACAAAATAAAGAACATAAGTTCCAATCATTCGATCCCAACCCGGATGTTACATATCAGAGCAAGACTCCCATTATTCAACAGAAGCAAATAAGCATACTCTGAAGCTATCCTTTATATGCTCTACGGACTATTCTCGATCAAATATGCGTTATCCACGTGGAGGAAGCATTCAAACAGAAAGGGTGAGTAAATCATAATCATTATAAAAGACATAAGGAATAAACATAGCAGAATATGCACATAGGAAAGGTATCACACATCATCCTATCTTCATGTTATACTCACACCTTCACAACTTTATCAAAACAGGAACACATATCATCACCCACAAGACATCATCAAGAATCACAAATAAATCATTATGCAATGTCACATAAAATGTAATGCAACATCATAGACTCATGTATGTGGTGCCAAAACTTCACTGATGACTTAGTCATCGTTATCTCCAAAGATCCCGACCAATAGGATCGATTCCCACTTGGAACTAGAGAATTTCACTGTTGTGCCCAATCCACACTATGGGATTGTTGCCTTCATTGGACAATTGTCCTATCATCTTCACTAGACCGAAGCCCTAACATCATTATGCCGAAGCCCTAACATTATTGGGACGAAGTCCTAACTATGCCATGGATGCATGATGCGCAACAACATAAAACAAACGATCGCGGCTAGTCAAACACACCATCACTCATGAATTAACCACCATATGATCATATCACATTAAACAAATATGCATCATCACATGATAGTCATAACATCATAAAAGATAAATCATCAATCTATTATTATCATATCATCATAGTAAACAAAGCATCAATATATTATCATCATATCATCATAGTAAACAAAGCATCAATGTATTACCATCATATCATCATAGTAACTAAATCATCATTTTAATCCGATGTAGAGAACCTAACTTCACTCTATATTAAGTATTGGTAATTGATCCGCTGTCACGCGCGGATCAAAACGAGTGTTTTTGCGAAACGGTTTCAAAACTGTAGTATTTAACGACAACTGTAACTCGGATATCGTTCTCACAAGGATTCTTGATTTTATTAAACAACAGAAATCGAATTAAGGGGGGGTTTGGTTTTAAGGACGATTTATAAAAAAAAACAGAAAATAAGCCCTTAAAATAAGTGATTATGAAATAAGTCGATCTACTGTTTCGGGTTCCTACTATCATCGATTAATACAATTTAACTTCCCTAAGCGGATTCCTATTCAAATTCGATCATAATTTCATCCAACAAGCGAGAATGAAAAAAAATAAGAATTATGTTCCCTTTTCACCGAATTAAGCAAACGGTTAATCAACAAACGGAATAACGAATTAAGCATACGATATAACGCAATTATAATTGGGAAACATAATTCAATCGAACCAACAAGATTACTCTAAGATAATTCGAATTAAGCAAACGAATATAAAAGGCAAAATTGATATGAATAGAAATTGAATTGTAAATTATATTAACCTCAAGTTTTGGAAACCAAGTTACAACAGATCAACTCTAACGGATTAGTTCTCCATTCTCATTCGTACAAAATTGTTTTCTCCCTTTGTCTACAGTAAAAACGTGATCCAAAAATCCCCTTATGCGGCTGCCCCCAGGTTAAAGAGGAACAATCCATTCGATTTACAAACCAACTGGATTGAAAACACAACTCAGGCCCAAAACTACTAACCCAAAACTTAAAAGTCTAAAGTTGCAACTTCAACGACTTTTTCAACCTTTCTGCACTTCGAATCAGCTTCTGGAAAAAACTAGAAAGTTGTAGGCCATTTTCTTAACTTTCCAACACATAGTCAAACCCCTCGATCCGATTTTTGTAGAATTAGTTATGAATTTTTCCACGAAAGCTGCAGTTGCTGAAAATAAAATACGAAAATTAATTAAATGCAAAAATAA